AACGACACAACACTATCACCGTCAATCTGACACAAGAGTTTTAATGTTGAGCTTTAAACGACACTACAGTTCAATGGTGAAAGTGTTGTGTCCTTTAAAGCTAAACCCTGACAGCTCGGGTCAGATTGACTGTGACAGTGTTGTGTCCTTTAAAGCAAAACCCAGACCTCTCGCACCGTCAATCTGAAGAGAGAGTTTTAAGGTTTAGCTCAAACAGACCCGAGCAGTCAGGGTTTAGCTGTAAACGACACAGCTCTATGACCGTTAAACTGACCTGAGCGGTCAGGGTTTAGCTTTAAACGACACAACACTATCACCGTCAAACTGTCCCGAGCGGTCAGGGTTTAGCTTTAAACGACACAACACTATCACCGTCAAACTGACCCGAGCGGACAGGGTTTAGCTTCAAACGACACAACACTATCAACATCGAACTGTCGCGAGCGGTTTTAGTTTTAGCTGTAAACTACACAACACTATCACCGTCAATCTGACGCGAGAGTTTTAAGGTTTAGCTTTAAACGACACAACACTCTAACCATCGAACTGTCGCGAGCGGTTTAAGTTTTAGTTGTAAACTACACAACACTATCACCGTCAATCTGACTCGAGCGGTTTAAGGTTTATCTTTAAACGATACAGCACTATCACGATGAAACTGACCCGAGCGGACAGGGTTTAGCTTTAAACGACACAACACTATCACCATCGAACTGTCGCGAGCGGTTTTAGTTTTAGCTGTAAACTACACAACACTATCACCGTCAATCTGACGCGAGCGGTTTAAGGCTTAGCTTTAAACGACAATACTATGACTGTCAAACTAACGCGAGAGGTTAAAGGTTTAGCTTTAAACGACAACACTATCACCGTCAAACTAACGCGAGCGGTTTAAGGTTTAGCTTTAAACGACACAGCACTATCACTGTCAAACTAACACGAAGGGTTTAAGGTTTAGCTTTAAACGACACAGCACTATCACTGTCAAACTACCGCAAGCGGTTTAAGGTTTAGCTTTAAACGACAACACTATCACCGTCAAACCAACGCAACCGGTTTAAGGTTTAGCTTTAAACGACACAACACTATCACTGTCAAACTAACGTGAGGGGTTTAAGGTTTAGCTTTAAACGACAACACTATGACTGTCAAACTAACGCGAACGGTTTAAGGTTTAGCTTTAAACGACAACACTATGACTGCCAAACTAACGCGAGCGGTTTAAGGTTTAGCTTTAAACGACAACACTATGACCGTCAAACTAACGCGAGCGGTTTAAGGTGTAGCTTTAAACGACAGCACTAAAGGTTTAGCTATAAACGACACAACACTATCACCGTCAAACTAACGCGAGGGGTTTAAGGTTTAGCTTTAAACGACAACACTATCACTGTCAAACTAACGCGAACGGTTTAAGGTTTAGCTTTAAACGACAACACTATGACTGCCAAACTAACGCGAGCGGTTTAAGGTTTAGCTTTAAACGACAGCACTATCACCGTCAAACTAACGCGAGTGGTTTAAGGTTTAGCTTTAAATGACAACACTCTGACTGTCAAACTAACGCGAGCGGTTTCAGGTTTTGCTTTAAACGACACAGCACTATCACCGTCAAACTAACGCGAGCGGTTTAAGGTTTAGCTTTAAACGACACAACACTATCACTGTCAAACTAACGCGAGGGGTTTAAGGTGTAGCTTTAAACGACACAGCACTATCACTGTCAAACTAACGTGAGCGGTTTAAGGTGTAGCTTTAAACGACACAGCACTATCACTGTCAAACTAACGCGAGCGGTTTAAGGTGTAGCTTTCAACGACACAACACTATCACTGTCAAACTAACGCGAGTGGTCAGGGTTTAGCTTTAAACGACAACACTATGACCGTCAAACTAACGCGAGCGGTTTAAGGTTTAGCTTTAAACGACAGCACTATGACTGCCAAACTAACGCTTCCGGTTTAAGGTTTAGCTTTAAACGACAACACTATGACTGCCAAACTAACGCTTCCGGTTTAAGGTTTAGCTTTAAACGACAACACTATCGCCGTCAAACTAACGCGACCGGTTTCGGGTTTAGCTTTAAACGACAACACTCTGACTGTCAAACTAACGCGAGCGGTTTAAGGTTTAGCTTTAAACGACACAACACTATCACTGTCAAACTAACGCAAGCGGTTTCGGGTTTAGCTTTAAACGGCAACACTACATGTATTTTAAAGTAACTACGTTCATTCGTCAGTGTAAGAGAAGTGACGAACTTCAGGCTGACCGCTTTCCCCATAATTCGTAATACACCTTCTCAGTCGATATCTGTGCTTCTGTCAAACGTGCTTAGTATGTACGTCTGAGGGTTTCACTACAATAACTGCACAAAAACACACATATCAGATCAAAAATATGAATATACAAAACACAGATTTTTAGAATGATTCTTAATATTTACGTGACATGTGTGAGTAAATACAATTCCTGAATCAGGAAAATCCCCTCAATACTTGACACACATGCACACATAAGCGCCGTGGTATAAGCTTAAAGATAGCAATGGTGGAATTATTTAAATACATGTCATGCGCGGCAATTCGCTGTGCAGAGTTGCTTCCCTTTTGCACGCCATAAACTTATCATTGTGGGTTCGAATCTCCATTTGCATCATTGCTGAATTTCCTATCTCATTTTACTGTCATAACTGCAATACTGCTAGAAGCGACGTAAACCCCACCCACTCAGTACATCTTCGTCTTTAAAAGGTCAATAGCAATGTTTCAAACTGCATTCAACCTTTGGGTTTTTGTGAAACCTGTTGTAATCTCATGTCATCAGGTTTGTGAAATGCCAAACTAAAAAGGAACTAAAACTGAATATTTACCTGTGCAATATCTATGTGCAATATGTGTTATAAACACACGTTAATGACATTTTAGCCTCTTTCAAACATAAAGAGGTACAAGTTTTTCAAATGGTTTTGACGTTTGATTGACATAATAATGAATCCGAACGATGTACAATTTCATCCTCTTTTGGTGTGTAATTTAATCACTTGTTTGTCCATTTTACTTTATTTCTATAATATCATGTTTATATAAGTACCATGTATCCAGTTTCCAAGACGAACGAACGGATGGGATTTACCTTAAAACCTCTATGAGAAACGTGTTTCTACGTTTGATTGTTACAATAAATACACAATATTGAGCAACAATTGATCAAGAGGATCACTTGCAGTCTAATAAACACAATTTCCTTTTATTTTATTTTGTATGAGTATGTCGTTTATGTATGATAGATCTCCAACGGGAGCACGTCTTGTCAAATCAAAACAACAAAGTACGTATCTTATTTTAGTCTATTACACATATCTATTACATCGTAGATGTTACTTAATATCGAAACACGACTGAATTTTAGTTAAGAAGAATCCGAACAATTTAGTTATTTCAAAAGATAAATATATTTTGGTAGTAATTTTCTTTTCCTTTTTAGAGATTTTTTTGCTATGGAGGAATGCAAATGCTGTCCACCGGATCTCGATATAGACAATATAATGGACGTGTAAGGGACATTATCAGCTGTATCGACTCCACAATCGCTGCAGGGGGGTCTGCTCTCGTTAAATCCGGCCTCGCTCAAGCACATTATTCACAGAACGGATGTTACTTTCAACCAGTGGGTGAGTAAATGTAAACACATTATGATCGTGACGTCTGTGATTGTTTACATTCAGTAATATTTCAATATGACATCCGACTGTTTGTAAACAGGGCTAAAAGAATCAATGGTTGATAATGCGAGCATAGATAACATAGACTGATGGGAACCCAAATTTAATTCAAATCAGAATGGATACAGATATGTTATGCAAACATATACTGACTGGCTGAGTGGCTGAGTATGGTTTTACGCCGTTTTTAGCAATATTCAAGCAATAACACGGCGGGGGACACCAGAAATGGACTTCACAAGTTGTACCCATGTGGGGAATCGAACCCGGCTCTTCGGCGTGACGAGCGAACGCTTTAACCACTGGGCTACCCCACCGCCCTGCAAACATATACAATGATATTTGCATACCCATTCTATCCCAGCGCAGCACATCCGGAACTTTATGTATGAACGAAACTTTGATAACATCCGGAGTGAAAACAGTTCCCATTGCCATTCTTTGTCTTCGGGGGTGGTGGGGTAGCCTTGTGGTTAAAGCGTCCGCTCGTTACTCCGAAAACCCGATGGTTCGATGTGTACAATGTGTGAAGCCGGCATATTGCTGGAATATTGCTCAAATTGGCGTAAAACTAAATTCACTCAGCCAGCCATATTATCCGCTCACCCCTCGCACGCCTTGTCATCACAGAAGACAATCATTAACGACACCAGGTGTTCACGATAGGTTTAAGCATCTTATGGATCCAATAATGTCAAGCAGAGTCAAGACATGAGGGCATAGCAGACGGTTTATACTCCGACCATAGATATACTTGTATATGCAGTTTATCAGTTGGGGAGGTTTTACAACACATCAGTTGACATTATATGTGTCAATATTTGAGTAATATCATTACATGACTACTCACAGTTGGTTAAAAACTCAAGATATCGCAGACCGTAGCCATTTACAACTTAACTTAAACCCAAAGAATTGAGATATTACTGAGAAGGGGTGACATTAATGTCGAATTTATCACCAGAGCCCACTTTGAGCGTATCCCTGCACGACTAAGGGACGTAACTCTATTGCAACTTATTATGAATACAAGAATAAGAACGTGACTGTATAAAGCGTAACCCCATCAATCCGGACGTTACTGATCCGGTCGAATTCGTCCAAATTAACAAACAAAAACGAATTTTTCTTAAAGGGAAATTTCTTTTCTGTAAAAGACGTTTAACTGAAGGAACTTAAAGCGGAGTTTTTTGGAAGCTCGAGCTCCGGATAAAAGAAGTTTCGCTGTAGTACACGTTGACAAACAGGTATGTTGACAAATGACAACTTTACCTACCTGCAATTCTTCGCCTTTGCCATGTGTGGCGGGCTCTCGCTATGTGCGTCAGGTTGGCTTCGATCTAATGCATACGTTGGAAACAAAAGAATATGGTTTCCATTGATTTTCTGCCTTTGCCGTGCCATCAATGTGTTTCGATTAGGCTGCACAGCCTTCATACATTACTCTGCACGATCACCAGGACATTAAATATCGATAGAAACGCACCTCATTTGGGTGTCTGAGGGTTTCACAACCAGCAGGTAGGTAGTCACGATGTCATTAAGTAGGTCAGTCAATATATAATTGAGCGTTTGTTGAACGAAGCGTGGTAAATCGTCCAGTTAGTGCAGCGTGGGATGGACTGTAAGTTGAACTTAAAAGTTCCTTAAGCCACACATGGCTGACAAATGATAAAATATCGTATATAAGTATATGTAATAACGTTAGGAGTTAAGGTGAACCAACCCATAACTATGTTGTGGATATGTTACTTATCGTCTGAGTAGCTTTGTTTCTGTTTGTTTGCTCATGCCAACAAATTTCAACTCTTACCAACGCTAAAAGGGCAACCATATACACATCTTCACGACATTCTTTTTCTCAGGAGACATCGGTATCATCGATGGATTCGTCTCTGCAGGGAATTGGGTCACCAGCGCGGGAGTTTCGATTACTCCCCCTATGTATGTATGTATGTATGTATGTATGTATGTATGTATGTATGTATGTATGTATGTATGTATGTATGTATGTATGTATGTATGTATGTATGTATGTATGTATGTATGTATGTATGTATGTATGTATGTATGCATGCATGCATGCATGTATGTATGTATGTGTGTGTGTTTGCGTGTGAATGAATGTATGTATGTATGTATGTATGCATGTATGAATGTATGTATGTATGTATGTATGTATGTATGTATGTATGTATGTATGTATGTATGTATGTATGTATGTATGCATGTATGTGTGTGCGTGTGTGGTATGTGTGTGTGGTATGTATGTATGCATGTATGTATGTATCAGTGTGGGTATGTATGTATCTATGCATGTATGCATGCATGCATGTATGTATGTATGTATGTGTATGTGTGTGTGATGTGTGTGTGATATGTATGTATGTGTGTGTGGTATGTATGTGTGTCTGGTATGTATGTATGTATGTATGTATGTATGTGTGTGGGTATGTATGTATGTATGCATGTATGTATGTATGCATGTGTGAATGTATGTATGTAAGTGTCTATGTATATGTGTGTGCGTGTTTATGTGTGGTGCGAACATAAAAATGCTGATGGCTTCTAAACTATTTTAACAGTACAATTGACTGTAAACCTAGCAATCCTTACTGCACTGTCTCCAGCACAACTGGGTGAACGTTATCCTGGGAGCAGTGGCAATATCTCGGGTATAGTCACAATGAGTCAATATCGATAACCGATACGATCAAACCTAACAACGTGTTGCCAAAGCTATTCAGTAGCAGTCAGTCAATAACGTGACGTATTTACAGGTAGACATATGCTGATCTGTGGTATCATATATATCTATAAACGTTGTCTAGTCCCCGCGATAGTATCATTTAAACATGATCAGTTTGCTGGACACATTTAATTATTACCTTATATGTGATATCATACTTGAGACATCCATTGCCGCGCAGTTCATGTTCAAAACTAGGCTCTACCCCGAGTCACTTTGTATCATATATCAGAATATGATGGCTTACAGCGATTCGTCTTGTAAATACCTTATGTTTCATAAATACAGGTTAAAAAATTAGCTATAAGTTAAGAAAACTTATAAATGTTCAACGATAACTGGGGACACCAGAAATGGGCTCAAGCATCACAGGTTAAATATAAGAGACAACAAAATCAAGTAGACTTTGAAGTTGTATATCGAGAATAGACCGCAAGGAATTACGGACAATCTTCAAGGCAAGTATGTGTTGCACATGTGATTACATTTTATCAACAAAATACTGATTGTTATATTGTTGGAAAGGTTTCAGTCCCATCCGGGATTCGAACCCATACTCTCAGAGTGAGACACCTAATCGCCAGGGCACAAAGTCAACGATCTCACCCACTCAGCCAACGCAGCTTCCACAAAAATTGCAACATGTAGTCCAGATCACGTACTTTGTTTAACCATGCTGCCGGTGAGCCACTAGAAGGATAGCCATAACCCTGACATCTCAACCCGCTGGGTACCCATACACTGCGTGGTGATTGGAGCCATACTTCATACAGTCACGTGCCCAATGAGACACCGCATGCGCCACATGCTGCTTGAGGCAAATGTTCCGGGTTCGAGTTGATCCCCAGCAGCCTATGCTGGTCGTCAGATTCGAACAGATATACATTCAATCTGACAGCAGAATATGAACCAACTGGAGAGGGATTATGTAATGTTTCAATCAAAACGTCTTTGTGAAAGACCAGGATTAGTCCTGCTACACGTTTTATGGTAGGCTGCATGAATTTTCTGTAAATGACTAAATTGCTTGTGAACACGACGGGTATGCTCTCTTCTAATTTGACTTGGCACTGAAACACAAAGATTCGCATAACGGGCGACTTGAGATTCGAACTCGAAAATATGACGAGAGAATAAAGGAGCTTTACTTTGGTAAGTATTGGCATTTGATGTTAACATCAGTCATGGTTGAAAGTACATGAAAGTGTGTAGACGTACGATCCTCCCACCCCCACCCCACCCCCATCCCCACCCCCACCATCCATGAAGTTCCGGGCTAGGGGTCGTCTTCAGCATCCGATGCTTGTCGTAAGGGTGATCAGGCTCGAGGTGAGGTGAGGTGAGGTGAAATTGGGTTTAACGTCGTACTTGAGAATATTTCGCTCATATGACGACGTGCATGCGTGTGTATCTGTATGTGCGGCTGCTTGTACTAGCCCAGACTGAAGCTGGTTTTATAGTGCTAGCCCAGTGAGATACCACTGGGATCGAACCCGCGACCTTCGGCTCTCCGGGCGGACGCTCTAACCACTACACCACGGGGGCAGTAATGATCAGGCTCGAAGACGTATTTGATGCATATCATCATACACCAGCTGTTTAGATCGATGCTCATGATGTCTATCAGGGGAATGTCGAAAATAGTTATATACAGACCATATATGAATAATACCTAAGTTCTACGTTAAGAACAAGTGCAACAGAATCTGCCCACGCTGGCCAAACATGTCAACTTTTACGTGTAGCGTGGGATATTGGGGAGCTACTCTGCGTCAGAATTGCAAAAGTGAAGTGTTGGCGAGTGATCATTTACCCGGAGAAGAGACAATACAGCATACGCGGAATCCAAACATTCAGTGCTTGGGGTGACTGCCGTTTCCGATCAGTCTACTAGAATTTCTTAAGAACGTCCAGTATAGATTGGGATTGTTTTGATTGTGTAGACAAGTATAGCTTGGGTATGCTGGCTGGTATTTAGATAACTACATCCTCTGTTGGCCTTACGTGTTAGTAAAGTGCCTTATAGACTGCGCTAGTCAGACAAGACGATTAAATTGAGTAGGACGACAGTCTCTGTACTCTGAGGAAATACTCATGTGTTTATATGCTGTTTTTGCAACCACTGAAGCTTAACCCTTAGACAATACGAAACATTGATTAGATCTGACAAACAACTCCAATACAATTGCTATTATCTTAAATGTTGTGTTTCATGTAGTATAGACTAGTTTAAGACCCCTTACCGCCCTTCCGTCCATACCAAACCTTTTGCATTTTCAGGTTCAATTGACCTGTTTCAGTGCCATGGTTCCAAAAGGCATATCTACGCTGGTGTGCCTTGAGAACAGTTAGTTTTTGTATTCATTTGACGTAATTCATTGTGGTTCTTTAGTTTGCAATAAATATAGTTTTATCCAATTGAAATCTATGTCTTTATGACATCAATACGACCCAGTGACGTTATCATGTTTATCGTGGTTGCTGGGGTGTAGAAATGGCATCACCATTGTGGGGAGGGCGGAAAGACACTTTACACTGAGTGAAACATCACAAAGTGGCTTCCGAATGTTATTGTATCCACAGAGAGCACATACCAGTAGGCAGGGATGTTTCCTGGGTGCCCTGCTATCAGTGTATTGCAATCAATACATTGTATTCGAGTACACAAAGGACCATAACAATTCATAGCTTCGCGTGTTTGGGCTTTGTTCAATTATTTCTGAAGCACTAAACATCTGCGTTGGTGACATGATAAACCTCGATTACAAGCTGACTTTCTACAATACCTGGTAATAAATTCAACAGAACTAATGAAATCAGATCTAATTTCAGATAGATATTGAAACGTACAACTATGTACAGATATATGACAAACTCACAAGCTTATTGTAATGGTGGCTATGCAAGTGAGTGAGTGAGTTTAGTTTTACACGGCACTCAGCTATATGGCAGTGATCTGTAAATAATCGAGTCTGAACCAGACAATCCAGTGATCAATAGCATGAACATCGATCTACGCATTTGGGATACGATGACATGTGTCAACCAAGTCAGCGGGCTTGACTGACCACCCGATCCCCTTTATTCACCTCTTACGATAAGCATAGGTTACTGAAGACCAATTCTAACCCAGATCTTCACGGGTCCTTGCTATGCAAAACGTGTGGTATGAGTAAAACAGTGCTTCTCTGTTGAGAACATGTGAGGCCTGAGTATACCAGTTGGTTACCATGCTCTTTCGTCCAGTTGACGGTCATGGTTCTGTTTTAGTGTATTCTACTATGTTTCTCAACAATAAATCAAACACAACAATTATAATATTATATATATATGCACTGTGGAATTTGCCCAAACCGTTTTCTTTCGAACCGAAAGCTTATTCAGAGGACCAGCTTGTCGAGATTACAACAGGAAAAAACAATGAAATGACGTTATTATTTACAGAATATAGTACACAAAAGAAACTGAGAGGTTTTGCGGGATTCTGGAACAGTCGGGCTGGTTGGGATCATCACCTTCATTCATTCATTTACCCACTCAGCACAGACATCGACCGGGACGTCTGCAAACACAAGACACCGGGAACAAGCGG